GATATCATTATCAATTCAGCCCAAGCAACGAGTGTTTTTTACTCAAACTAATATACGTTTTTATGAGTGTTTTAAGATTTCGTATTCGCTAATTAAAAATATTTAATTACAAATACAATCGCTAGAGTGCAGAATTGTAAGTTTTTCATATTTTCATATTCAATAGTTTTCCTTTTTATCGACCATGTAATACAGTAGAATATATCCCTTTTCAGGTTGCGATGAGCTTTTGATGCTTATAAATGTGGTATCTCTTTCATTTGATATATTATTTAATGAAACGAGTCACAATTCCAAAACATAAAACCATATCAAAACTACAATTTAGGCCTTTGAAAAAATTGAGAGATTTCAAAACCCGACTGAAGCCTCATAAACCGACTGATCGATATGGGATATATTAGGTTTTAAATATCTCGAATCCTCATACCAGACTGAAACGACAAGAAACCGCTCGACGTTTCCGATTACTTCAGCACTTACTAGACAAACTTACAATTTATTACAAAAGACTCATATACATGACCATAATAAGGCCTATTTAAACTTCGAGCTGTGGGGCTCTACTAAACCATCAAATTCCTCTCGTATCCAATCCTTACAATCCAAAATCCTTCGTAAAATCCTCAATGCTCCTTACTTTGTTACAAATAAAACCATCCATCATGACCTTAATATTTCAGATCTGGCCCAATCCCGATATCTATCCTTCCATAATAAACTTCAGAATTATCCCAAGCAAGGTTTCTAACCTTGCTTCCTCTTCAATTCCTTATAACCCTCCGAAGCGTCTTAAAAGAAAATGGCCCCGTGATCTCCTAATGTAGACATATCATTATAGAGCTATTTCTATCCATTGGGTAGTTTCTCAACAAGTGTTTTCACGTCATTATATTCACATGTTAAAACTTACTAAATGTATTTCTTCAATATAGTAAATATCATTAAGAAAAAAACAAAATATTTCGACGTGCACATCAAGACCTGGTATAGTTCCACATGCATTAGACCAGACTTTGCTTTTTAAAGCTCAAAAATTTACTGTTTCCAAGATAAATCATAAATATTGTCGAAAGTCTCTCAGGTATGATTAATATGGAATAAATATCAAATAATTAGGCTTTAAAAATTAAAATATTATTATCTATGATAGTCTTCGTTTGAGGTGTAAGGCACTCGACTAATGTCTAAGTTGTTTTATTGAAAGAAGTTTTAACCTCAGATCGAATTATGTGGGTTCGAGACGTAATTCCAAAATCGTATTTTGAATTTTCTTTCTTATAAACCTACAAAAAATAAGCTTTATTTAAACCATATGCGTACGACTTTAAGCTATCAGAGAGGCGACATAAAATAGAATCTTTTTGAGTTTTCTGCCAAAGTAACATACTATTAGAGACTGGGCAACTAGGGAAATAGTTTCCTGTATGTACAGCAACTTTTTACAATTTTTTTTCTTTTTCTTTTTTTTTTTGCTAAAGTAAATGCAAAGCCATATTGTTTTGTTAAAACTTTAATATTGATTTGTTTTAGTTTTGTTTATTTTGTTTGGTTTGGTTTATTTTTTGTTTATTTACATTTCCTTTTACAATAATAATAACCTGTAATAATAAAAACACTAACAACCCATGAATGATCTTGGGTGCAGTACAATGTGAGGCAGTACTGTTCTTACAATGCCAACGGTTATGTAGGGAGGTGACGGGTCAATATCACGCTCAACCATCAGGTTTTCCCCCTTAATTAATTATTTAATTAAGCGTACCCACTTTGTAGAGGCTGGGTTGGCCCCAGGAGGGTCTCCCGGCCCCAGGGTTGACCCACGGCTGATGAAAAATTACTAGTCATCAGCCAGATTCGAACTAGGGACCTTCACTCTGGAAATCAGTGCTCACCCACTGAGCTATCCCGCTATTAATTTCCTCTTTAAATTGTTTTTATTAATGTTCATAGAGTGTGAATGAGCTACTCAATTACTGTTAATAGTGTCATTGAATGTGGCAGATTATAATATTTCTCAATGAAGAATTAAAAAAAAAATGTTACTAATGTTTATTCGTCTAAATCAATCCACATTATCGAATTAATCGATAACCATCCAACTTGAACATTTATAACACTTTAATGGACTTAAGTAACACTGTATCCATTAAACATTTTTTAATAACCTTTTAAGTCAGATTGATTAACAAAAATAAAATAATTCTTGAAATAAGATTAAGTAAATAGGTACTTAATTCTATTGATGAGTTTAATCAAATAGTAAATGGATTTTATTAATAAGATTAATTAAAGAGGTACTTAATTGTATCAATAAGATTAATTAACCTGTACCACTTAAATTGTAAAGTAAAATATTAAAATAGCAATAATTAAATTAGTATTTAACGTTTTTTATCTTTTTCTAAATAAAAACCATGGCCATGATTCTTAATTTTTGTTATCGGTTATAGTAATTATTATTAAAATAATTATAAAATATTTTTAAAAAACATTCATTTAGACTAATTCATTCAATCAAATAATTTTCTACTCTCCATTAAGGGAGACCTCCATTGTAAAGCTCAACTGGGAGATTTAAACGCTCTTAACTATATCGCATCACCTCTAGTTCTCAATCAAATATTCAGTAATTACGGTCATCATGTGATACAATAATTATTTTTAAAAAATATTCGTTACATTTTCTCATTCCTTTCATGAATCACTTGTAATATTCATAAAAAATATTGATTGAAAACTAGGGTATATATATTTCAGGTTAGGAAGCAGCTAAAAAAAAATTTAAATATAATTCTACTTATCTCGATTTTTTATATTTAATATTTTTCAGCGGAGTTGTTGTTTTGTACCTTGTAGTCAGAATTAGAAACTTGAACTGAAGTATGCGACAAAAAATGAATCCCTCTGTTTCACTGAATTTCTATTCTGAATTCTTTCCTCCAATAATTTTCATTTGAAACTATTTTTCAGTCCGCTTTTTAATAAGAATCTTTTACGACCATTGATCATCATTTACGTATCGTCCACCATAGGGGTAACCTAAGTATGCTGGCGATAGGAGTAGGAGTAGGAGTAACGCACAATTCCTAATTGTAATAACTCCATAATGTTTGCTAATAGCTAAGTTACGTAAATTGAGATTTGGTTTTTAGACACTTTTATATTTCGTCTCTTTAAAATTTAAGTCAATTCACCTAAATAGAGACTAAATATTTTAAACTGATGTTAAATAGAATGTTCTTTCTAGTGGTCTTGTCCAGCCATTTAAAGCGTGGTCTTCCACCAAGTCTGTCCTCTAGCAGGGGTTTAGGGATTGAGTATCTTGGCATACACAACCATTGGATTTGGTCACATAGATCTTGCTCTATTCTGCATTAGTGCAAATTTTCCACTTGCCCATGTTCACACAACGATCATAGATCTTGCCGAGATCTCTTCTCTTTCATGAGGATACTTCCTTTCCTATACCTTGTACTGGTATAAATCCGTCATAAAGTCACAAAGACATTCTCGTATACCATGATTTTTGTTTGACTAGAGATCTATAATATAGTAATTTTCACATGAAAAAACTTCATCTATTGCCAGCAGCCCTCCTTGTTTTTAGTTTTTTCATCATTTCCAATAATTAATGTACCCAAATACTAGTATCTACTCTACTCTTTTCAGGTTGAGGTTTCCTATTATGACGCATTCATATGTTACACTCGGCTTTCTAGAAGTTTGAATGTTAACAGTTTTTATTTATTTATTCGTTTAGTTCTTTTGCTGCTGTTTCAAAATTTTCAAGAGCTAACGCTTTTTTATATATTTCCGCTATCTTTGCCACACTATTTACCATAAATAATAAAACTACAGCAAAACAATAATACTAAAAGTAAATGTATATAAACTAAAAGATACTAAACTAAACAAAATAAATCAAAATAAATGCTCTAATACACACATGCTTTAGTACAATATTTAAAAAAAAAACATTCACTCAAGATCTCCAAGTCAAGAATTTCTCCCCACTCGTGGGCGAGGACGGCTATTATTCTGAGGAAAGGTAGGACTGTAGGAGATCCCAGCTCCTTTCTCTCAGTGGAGCCTGAGCAGAGGCATTATAACCAGACATACATGGTTTGAGGGGAGAATCTGGGGCCATTGCCACATCTCCAATATATGCTTAAAACATATCTCTGAGCCACTGCCGCTTCAAACTTCAAGCAGGATTGTAAGGATGGGTAAAGCTAGATAGAGATTGTGCAAATGGATTTGGATGATATGTAAAGTTTTGATGGAATTCGGAAAAAAAATTCAGGGATAACGTCATGGTGTAGGGTTTTGTTGGTTACATAGAACGGAGCATCAACTATTGTACCAAGGACTTTGGACTGAAAGGATTGAATGCGTTTGATTTTAAAAATTTTGCTGTCCCGCATTTTTTTTCACACCCTCTGCCTTCCTGTTACTCCAATACTCTCTTGTCCTCTTGGACTGTTCCTCTCGCTGATCTTTAGCCCATTTCCTCCCTCGTCTTTCCCTCCCACCCACAAGAACCCCAACCCCTTTCAGTTTTTCCCTAAAAACTCTATATCCAAGCAATCTAAAAGCAAGCAAAAATTTTCTTGTTCAGTCTTTCACTATTCATCCTGATCATGTGCCCGTAGAACTTCAGTCTTCTGTCAATCTTCCAAATGTCTGTATATTTCTTTATTGGATTTGCCATTATTATTATTATTTTAATTATGTATATTTATTTATCTATTGTATGAACATATTATATGATGATGAAAACTTTTAACATTATTACTTGTTGTCTGTCAATATGGCAGATTGTATCATTATACGGTAAACGTGTATGTAATTTTTAAAAATTGTTAAGGTAGCAGTTAGACAGCCTTGAAGAGGCTGAGCATGACAAGATGCATGATAGTTGCCCCCACTGTTGCAGGAGCGGAGCTGGTGGGAGGTGGGATGGGCCAGCTAGGAGGCCGGCTCCGGACCAGCTCGGGATGAAGCTACGGGAGAGGGTCTCCCTCGCCTGCTCCTGTATAGGCGTCATCATCACCCTCGCCCTAGTCCTAGATCTACAGGTATATTATCAGTAATCAGAAAATAATTATAATTATATTTGTTAAAAACATATAAAAAATATATATATACTTATTATTTATGTTCTAATCACCCCTGTCCGCACATATAAATCATTTGCTTTTATCAAATTTATAAATTTTATATTCAAACATATATTACAGTTTTAGAGTTACAGTATATATATATATATATATATATATATATATATATATATATATATATATATATATATATGCTAAAAAAAAGAACGTAGAAATGGACTGTAAAAAAGTTCAAATCCATCAAAGAAGTACTTGGCGTAGTACTTTTTGTAATTAGCCGATTTATTTTCAAGTGAGTTTAGTTTATAAAAAAGAATTTATTTTGGCAATAAATATAATTTTTACTCTGCACATTATACATAATAGTAAAAAAAAAAGTACATACAATGTTGTGTATTAACCAAATAATATTTTACGTATATAAAACTGTGATTAGTACAGGTTTAAGAATTAATGAAAAGTATGTATATATTCGATATACTTTTCATCAGTTCTTAAACCTATACTAATCACAGTTTTATATACGTAAAATATTATTTGGTTTATACAACATTGCATGTTCTTTTTTTTTTACTATTATGTACAATGTGCAGAATAAAAATTATATTTATTACCAAAATAGATTCTTTCAAAAGAAGAAGAAATTAGAAACTAAACAAGTTCCAAATATGACCATATCGTCGGCTAATAACAAAAAGTCACTAAATACATTTTTGTTGGAACTGAATTTTCTTTCAGTCCATTTCTACGTTCTTCTTTTTAACAATACTTTTTTTTTATGAATCAGAACATTGTTTACTGATAGAAAAACAATGTAACTGCACCAAGCACTAGCGGATCCAGGATTTAATTTTGGGGAGGGGGGCTTCAGCCCGAAAGCTTTTTTTTCATAAAAATAATGATAATTACTTTAGAAAAACAGAAAAAAACTAACTACCTATAGGAAATGATGTTTAAGTGATTCCTTAAGTTCTTTTAACTGTAATTACACGAAGAATAATACTTTAAGAGGTATTTTTAGAAAACAATTTCCATAAAACATGGTTATATTTAACCATTTTGGGGGGCTTCAGCCCGAAAGCCCTCCCTCCCTCGTAGATCCGCCCGTAGCACCAAGATTACAAAAATCCGTGTACTTATCAAATGTTGCAGAATGTTCTGATTTTACAACCAGAAAAAAAATCATGAAAGTACTTAGTGATTTAATTTTATGAAATGTAACTTGATGAATTTTTTCAGTAATCCCATGATATTTGAAATTGAGAAGGTAAATTTTTGAATTATTGGGAATATTTTATTAATAGTTTTTGTAATTAGATAAGCTGAATGAAAAATTAAGACTATCTATCAAGTTTCAAAGTTTAACTTTTCTTTTGTCTAATTTTAATTTCAATAAAGTATTTCAATTAGATATTTTCTCGGCAAGTCATTTCATTAGTCGAGTCATCTTATTCACCATATTTTATTACTAAAAAAATTAGTAAAATATTCAGTTACTAAAATCAATTTGTATAAAATAAGATACCGTATGATGGGTTCTTTAGTTGTATTTCCAGAAGTAAGAAATTAAAAAAAAAAAAGTTAAAATTTGTATTATTGAACAGAACGCAACTAATTTTGTTTTTTAATAACCTAATTTGAATTTGAGCACTTATCAAAAAATATTATTAAGGAAATCTGAAATTCAGGCTTTTAGAGCTAAAGTGGATCAATTTCATAAATTTTAGTCCTAATTGAATCCTATTTTTCTAAAGAATAATTTTATTTATTATTTCCGTACTAAGACTAACTTGAATATGGGCAGAATTTGATAATATATATTGATAATGAATTAAAAAATAATGATTAAGGTTTCTCGATTCGCTTTTCGTTTGAAATTTTAAGAAAGGCTTTCAGATATTAAGAAAAGTGTTGCCATTTTTTATAAAATAACAAAAGCAGTGAGTCAGTTCACTTTGATTCTGAAAACATATTAAATAATCAAGTATGATTTTAAGTATAATAATAACAAACTAATTTTTAGGAACTCTTAGACTTGATCCACTTAAGCTCTCCATTATTGGACAAGTTCACATAGTTTTATTCCAAACAGATCATGTAAAATACTTCTGGAAAATGTTTCTGAGCAATGAACATGAAAGAAGGATAATTGCTTCAATCAGATTTTAGCTAATTCGACAAAATGTTTAACGTTTGATGATACATATTGGTGTCTTATATTTCAATATAAGAACAGTAAAAATTTGAAAACGTTCTACTAATAAGTAAAAGTTTAAATGTTTTTCGTTGAAGCGCTGTACTACGTTGCAAAGCTAGGTTTTTCATTTTACTTTGTAGGATCTAAATGAAAGTTATATAACAAGTGTTATTTGTCAGTATTTGTTTTTCAAAAGAACTGTACGAGTTGAATATCATTCTCTACACCTTCTACAATATTCAATTCACTGATTTCATAATAGATTTTATATTTTCATTGTTTTATCGTTGTATACGGAAGTTTATCAGTTAATCAATCAAAGATTAAGATCAATCGGTTTCTCTTTTCATAGATTACGACGTCGAAAAAAGATATTATGTACTACAAAGGTATATTTTGTAGTTTAACTAACAATTAATATTGTCAGTAATGAATGGGATATATCATATGGACGGATCCATTATTCGGTTGACCTTCAGTAGTCAAAAACAGCTGTGAAAACAGTCGTTATGATCCTAAACACTGCTGTAATTATTTCCCTACAGTGATACGAATGACGTCTCCCAAAGAATCATTAGGTTATTTTAACTTTATTAGAACTTACGTACTACTTTGACAATAAACACTGGGTACAGACATAAGTGCAGTCTTTTCCTTCTCGTTAGAGAGGGGGCCATGGATCCCCCTCCTCTCCCCCCCCCAAAAAATGACTCAGATGTAATAATATATACTAGTGTTCGCTCAGTGGTAGAAATTCGACAAATATCATTGAAAATTTGAGGGAAACATAGTATTAAATCAAAAATAAATTCAATAAAAAAAGAGTAAATCACGATTTAAAATCATAATTTCTTAAAAAAAAAAAAAAAATTTCAACTATCAAAATCAAGCTTAAACTACTTAAAATTATTTATAAGTAATACAAAAATGCACTCATTCGAAAATATTAATTTTTATTTTGATTTGTGTATGTTATTATCACAATAAATTAATGTTATGATTAAGCAAGTAAAACATAAATTTAAAAATAGAAATTTCAATTCAGTTTAAATAAATTTTTATATAGAACTTCTCTGTACACAATGTTCGTTGTGAAGGTTCTGTTATTGTTTAGTAAGTAGCTTGCCCATTGCCATTGGGAATATAAAATTTCAAACTTTTAAACATGCGTGCTCTAATTGCTGCCACGTATAATTGTCCATGTGAAAAAAATGGACGTTGCAATACTCCAATTTTACAAAACATTTGACCTTACGATTTGTTTGTCTAACAAATGCAGCTATTACTGGGAACTGTGTTGTTTGAAATTCGTATGTAAGTATTGTTCCAGAAAATGTTAAATTAAATTTTGAAATTAAAATTCTTTTATTGACAGCAGCTCCAGTTAATACTTCACTCACATTCGTGTTCCATTAACTAAAGCTTGTGCAGTATTTAAGTTACAGATGAGCATAACTATAAAATTTACTTTTAGCTTTAATTTATGACGTGGCGTTCCAATGACTTTCAATGATATAATCTCTTCAAATAATAATCTCAATAATTTCAGTACGTGTAGATTTTTCGATTTATCAAAAACCAAAGTAAAGGTAATCATCTTTACAAAAGAAAAAGTACTAAATGTTTAAAACACTATATCTCTGCACCAAATAGTCGGATTTCAATGATTCAAGAAGCTTTCGAATAAATATAAGTATTATCCATAAAAAATTGTGTACTTTTTGAGTTATTCGTAAATAAAATTCTGAATTTATCATAAAAATGTATGTAACTTGTTTTCGGGAAAGTATGCTATATACATAAATTATAAAGGTTTCAACGGAAAGACTTTAGCCTAGTTTTCGTGTGTAAAGGTGGAGCAATGATTAACTTGTCACACTTTTTGTGATTTCCGAAATAAAATCGAAGGCTCCTCTGGCTTGAAGAAAATTTGAGGCAAACAATTTTGAGGGTTTATTGAGGTGCGTTATACAAATCTCTACTGTGTTTCTCCTTAAAAAAATATTAAAATACTTTACTCATATAGCCGCTACAATTTTTCATTTCGGAGATAATTCTTTTCATTTTCGATGACATTTTTTTTTATTTAGTAGGGAATTCAGGAAGCTTTCAAATAAATATGGTATTATCAATCAAAAATGGTGTACTTTTTGAGTTGGTTTTTTGGTTGGTTGTGTAGTAAAGGCGTAGAACCTGTTGGTCATCAACGCCGCTTGATGACATCTTTTGGTTATAAATATTAAGAATTGGATAAAATTTAAAAAATGTAAAATGCACGTTAAGGTTAAAAGTTGTTTATTACTATTAAACTTTAGTTATTTAAAGTTCGTGCGTTAGGTAAAAAATAAAAAGAAAAAGGGGGAAAAAAATTGTAAGAGGAAAAAAAGAGGTGGGGAATGCTGCGCGAGAGGTTCAAGTATTTTTTAAGATTCTTTCTTCGGAGAGAAAACATATGATTTTGCCTTGGATTTTTTCATCATTTCCCAAAGCAACCGGTGTATTTGCTGGTATTTTTCTTATGTTTAATTGTCTAATGTAAAAGGCACAACTCTCGAAGATATGGACGACTGTCATTCTCTCTCCACTTCCGACAAATGGGCAGGTTTTCTTTCGTAATTAAGTGATGGTGCGTAAGCTTGGTATGACCTATTCTTAGTCGCGTAAGGACAACTTCCTCTCTGCGTTTACTGCGACTGGAACATATGATTTTGCATGGCTTCACTTTCATTTTTATCGCCTTTAATTCATTTGGAGGGCTATT